GATAGATAGATAGATAGATAGATAGATAAACAGTTTGATCAACAAAACAAAACGTACAGTTTCAATGCTTTGTGATTTTGCTTTATGTGAGTTTTCTCCCAGTTGTTCTGACATCCTTGAAAACATTTTATAAATTAAGAAATTAGACTGACTTTAAGAAATTTTGAAGATAAAGTTGTGTCACACAAATAAAAATGCCCATTGGCCAGGTTACTAATGTTTATCTGCAAAAAAGTTTATTCTGAAATGAGTTACGCTTTAGGTTTCAAAGCTTTAATTTATTTGGATTCCTTATAAATGTTTAGCTTCAATAAATGTTTGCATTTATGCAGTTATGGATAGTTTTGTTCAAGGTTTCTTTGCCATAGGTTATGAGAAACAACTCTCTTACCAAAGAGATGACGGTTCATTCAGTGCTTTTGGAAAAAGTGACATGTCAGGTAGCATCTGGTAGGCCATGATTTCTTTACATTTTAAAATAATACATTTCCAATAATGACATAATTTTTTTTTACGATGTCTTCCTATAGTTTATCTATGCTTTGTGTTTATGAACCAGGCTGACAGCCTTTGTGCTGCGATGCTTCCTCCAGGCTCAGTCCTACATGTTGATAGATCATACAGTCTTAACTAAGGCCACAGCCTGGCTCTTGAAACATCAAGGTTCCCAAGGAGAGTTTACTGAGGTTGGCAAGATTATCCACACCAACATGCAGGAGGGGCAAGATGATAGCCCAGAGGCTCTCACTGCTTTTGTACTTGTGGCATTTCTGGAGGACAAGGACCATTCTGTAAGTCATTGGGGATTTGTGTTATTTAAAATGACCAAATACATTAGAGAAAACTTAGACTTTATTTTTACCAATAATGACACTCATTTGTGTTGTTTTTGTGTGAAGGAAATGTATGCAGATGAAATTTCTGTGGGTCTAAGATACCTGGAGAGTAAAGTGTCCAGTGGTGTGGTCAGCAACTACAGTCTGTGTTTGGTGGCTTATGCTCTAGCTCTGGCCAACAGTCCTGTTCTGGAAGAAGTGCTCTCAGAGCTCAACCGGAGAGCTGATAAGAAAGGTGACTTAAAATGTGTTTAAACATATCAAGTATTAAAAATATCCTGGAAAACTGTAGGTGTTGAGATCACATTTCCATTTTCTCCTAAGATGGTATGATGATGTGGACAATCTCTGAAGCCTTGCGATCGAACAACCAGCAGCAAAGTTCAGCACAGATTGAGATGGCCTCGTATGTGCTGCTCGCTCGGTTTATGCGCGGCAACTTCCTTGAAGGTATTCCACTCATGAAGTGGTTGAGTACTCAGAGGAACCATCTAGGTGGATTTGGAACGACTCAGGTGAGAACAGGTTTGAGAAAGTTGTGTTTAATTGATTACCTCTCTTATATGGTAGTTAGAGAGAAAACTCAGGTGTTTTTAGTTTTTTTTTTCTTCTATTTTCTGCAGGACACAGTAATTGCCCTCCAGGCCCTTTCTTATTACGCTGCATTCAGTGGCGCAAATGCCATCAACCTAAGGTTTAACGTATCGTCGCCGTCATCTTCAACTGCAATGTTATTTAACATTAACTCAACTAACTATCGGGTTTATCAAAGCCAAGAGGTAACAAATGAGCATATATAACTCTTGTTAACAAATATTTTGCTTCACATGTCCTATAAGTAATCAAAAGTTTCCACTCATCCTTGTCATGAAATGATTTTGCTCTTTAAATGTAATTAATTAATTAGATCTACCATTTTTAACTTAACTCATACACCATACAAGAGCTGCTAACTTCAGTTAATTTAATGCATTTTGTTTCTAAACAAAACATACTCTAATTCAGAAATACCTAAACCAAGATGTCGAGGGGTATGATAACTTTTCCATGCAGCTCTTCTCTAATATAACTAAATTAAAGGGCTTAATTTCCCAATCAGCATGTGACTTGGTGGGGCATATTAATGTATATATTATTTGAATATTGATATTCAAAACTGTAATGTTTACATAAGCTTTGTCTCCAAAAGTGACAGGAAAAGCATTTATGATTAAAGGGATAAAAGGGGCTTAATCATGCCAAAATCTTTTGCTCTACAACGGTGTATTGACTTAGTTTATGTATGCTTGAGTTCAGATCGAAATAAAATAATATTTTAAATAAATAAAAATAAAAAAAGCTGTCATATGAGGATGCACTATATATACTGTATATATCCCATGCACCTTTTTCTGCCTTTGGCGACTTCTTCTTCTTTTCCATGGACTATTTGAGCTGATGTAACAAGTACATTTCTCCCCTGTGAGATCAATAAACTCAATCAATCAAGACCTGTGCACGATTCTGTGTATAGGGATGACTAAAACAGTATTTTTCTAGAAAAACTGTTTAATATAGCATTCATGCCAATGACAACTGTATCTAAACCTTGGATTTCTATTGTGCATATGCATTTAAAAAGCTAAACTGTTGTTTCTTTTTTCATCTATTTCAATATCATCAGATTAACCCTGACAATGAACTACCTTTGAATATTTTCATGGAAGGAAGAGGGTTTGCCATATTTCAGGTAAAGTTTGCTGTTTTCATTAAAACAGTTACCGCTGAAATTATCATATGAAACTGATCTTAGAGTTAAACGGCTGCAGAACAACAGTAGTGTTTTCCTCCCTCCATTATGTCTGGCTCTCCTGACAGACTGTTTAAACACAGAAACATGATCAGAATAAATTAAAAGCAGCAGCTGTGAATGATCAATGTCTGAGCATGTCTCACATTAAAAACCTGGAATCAAAACAACACATGCAAATGTAGCTATGATGACCGACACTGAGCAGCTAACATCTGGACTGCAGACCTAGATAAAAGGGAACTAAAAAGGATAGCATCTTTACTTTTATTTTTTTTATCTATTTTTTTCTAATTCCATGATTCCATCCAGCTGAACATCTTTTACAACGTGAACAGCACACACAACACCAAGCCAATACCAGATGATGATGCCTTCATATTAGATGTTAATCTCTATAAAAGGGAGCCCGGTGGTGTAATGTTGTCTGTATGCACAAGGTAACCTCTACAATACACATGCTGATAGAATTTGTATAATTGGTATAAAGCTAGTGTATTTTCATATGTGTTTTTTCATAGGTTGAAGGAAAATCAGCCAATAGATCGTACAGGTATGGCTATATTGGATGTGGGGATACTAAGTGGTTTCAGTCTTGCTCCTGAAGATGCGATCTCTGATACTTCCATTATGAAAATGGACAGAACACCTGAAGGTGTCATACTGTACCTGGATTCTGTAAGTCCTGAAGTCTGTATATTTGGTGGGTTAGGCTATATGTAATATACTGTGTGTAATATATTTACAACTCATAAAAATGCCTTTGTGTAAAAGTTCAGCAGATAATTAGTTTGATGTCATTGTGTGCAGATTAGGTTATATTCTTAATGCAAAGCCAAATGTTGAAGCACATAAAGACTGATCCAGGTCTAATAAAACATGTCCAATTCAATAATTCAATAATAATACAATTAACATACTACTCCTTTGAAAAACAATTTTGTCAAGTTCAGGATGCTGCGTTAAATGGTGAAAAAAGTTGGCAACTGCTTTAAGTCTCTGATTTTGCACAAATAAATCCACCTGAACAAGTCTGCCGTGGTGAAAGTGGATGTTTGACTGCATTAATTTATTAGCTCTGCAGCAATCTATCTATATTGCATGTAGCAATGGGGGAAATTGTTAAAAAAAATTTTTGAATGGAAGTCAAGCGTTCATTCCAAGCTATGAAATAAAGTTACCACTGATTTTGTCTCTAGAGAACTAATCAAACAAACAAAGAAAGATAACGTTGCAAAAAAAGTGTCATACTTAAACATTAAAACTATGCAAAAACCTGCATGAGGAGTAAAGAAAGGAGCATAAAAAGGTAACAGTTGCACTAAATGTAGAGAATTGTAGAGTATTAGGACAAATTATGTGTGAGTTCAAGGCAGCTCAAGTAACTCATCAGTGTCAAGTTTGGTGGAGGTTTGACAGGACCCAAATGCAGACACTGAAGATGAAGGTGGTTACTTGCACATTTTATTACACAAAAGGCAACAGAAGCAAAAATCCAAAAACATTAATCCTCAAAATCCACAAAAATACAGAAAAACTCACTTGAAGGAGATGAAATGACGACAAACCAGCAACAGCGACTAAGCAGGAGGTGCATATATGGGAGAGAGAAACAAAGACCAGGCTAATCAGCAGATTGGGAGCAGGTGTGAACAGAGGAGTCTAGAAAGGAGCGAGGGAAAAGGAGACTGACACAGGAGGGCAACAGAGGTCAAACAAGAAATACCTAAAACTCAAATACAATAAAAATAACCAGTACATCACAAAATGGAAATAAAACCAATGAAAACTCAAAGATAAAACTTAAACAGAAGCAAAACCATGAAAATCAGGATGCCTACTGGAGGTCTATCTAGGAGGAGATTCTATGGCTGACCAAGAACCAAAGGTCTTTATGCATCTTTCTTTTCCAAGAGCCATTATATGATACATAATTAATCATACACAGCCAGCAACAGAGGCCTTAGGATACTCTAAAATCATTGTCATGCACTTAACTTTCAAGCATTTATGATGTTATGTCCTATTGGTGCGTTATATTGTAGAGACAACATTCTTGTTACTTTCATAGGTGACCAAGGAAGAGATTTGCTATAAATTTCCTTTTCTAAGAAGCTCTAAAGTGGCCCGTGTAAAAGATGGTGTGCTGCAGGTTTATGACTACTATGAACCAAGTGAGTGTGACTGCAGATAATCGTATTACAAAAGCTGTTTCTCATTTTATCCTTGATTTAAAAGTCTTCTAACCATACCATTATTTTGTTATATCTTTTAGCAAGAAAAACTGTAAGAACATACAATGCAGATAGTCTTCGTGACCTGGACATCTGCTCTTTCTGTGGCAGAAACTGTGAGAAATGCACTCCTGGAATCACCATCGCTGTGACTTCCCCTCTGTTATCTCACTCAAAAAGCTCTGCTTCTTGCAGCTTGACTTTCCAGTTTGTTGGAATAGTTGTTCTGCTTCTCTCCATCTGAAAAGATAAATGTTAACATTCATCCAATGCATGTTTGTGTTAGACAAACACTGGAAAGTTGATTCTCACATTGAAAGAACTGTTTGCAAGCTGCTGTTTTTTGCTGCATGCTCTTGCACCCTCTACTGTTTTCAATCGGCTTTGCATTTATTTATGAAAAGGAACAAATCCATGACAAATAATGAATCAAGGCAGCTCATCTTTTTAGTTATTACATTAATAAACAGAAAAAAATCTTTATTGCATGGTTTCCATTTACTGTTTTGGTGCATTTTTCTACATGTGTTTCAATGTTTTGACTGTCATACAAGATGTAATGAAGAACACATGTGTAGATGGCAAAAGTGCACATGAAAGAGGATTTATTTCAAAACTCCATGTGTGTCCTGTTGTCAGTCTTCTGGCAAAAAACATCAAGCTAACTGGGGATATATAAAGTCTGAAAAGGAATTATAAATAAAATCTGCTTTTCATGAGAACACTTAAAAAAATACAGACTTCTTAAAAGAAGCAGACCTACTGGAGACACCCTTAAAAGTAACATTAAGGGAAATATGCTTTTTGAAATCATCTGAAGTGAGATAAGGCCCTCTGGCTTAAAAAAACTTAGTGAACTAAAGGAATGCATGACCTAGGGAAATATGCAGGGTGTCCGCACACATGGAAGTCATCTACAGATTGGAGACAGGTTTGACATCACTTGTAAAATGTGGTACTTTAGCCCACATTGCTCAAATAATTTGTTATATTATCTCTTTTCATGTGATTGCATTGATTCTTTTTTTATATTGGATAATTTCCTGCTTTTTTGGCAAAGTATTTACCATTTTGGAGGACAAAATTATTTTGCACAGAAGACAAAAAAGATTTTAAAGAACTGTATAAGTTTACCCTCTTCTTTTTTTCAAATATCATGTGGCCATCCCTACATAAAAGTTAAACATTTATTAAGATTCACTCTATACCTATTTTGACTAAATCCTTGTTACTCTCTGCTCTATCACCAGTTACATAAAGCGTGTACATACATTTGGCCTGAGGTTACAGAAGCATGTTGCTACAAATTTTATACTTCAAAACAATTATAAGAGGAATTTGTAGCAGAATGTAGGCAAAGCTTAGCAGCTACCCATAGGCTATTTCTATGATGTTCTCATAAAATGTGTTATAGCCATTGTTCAGCATTAACAAACACTAGATGGCAGGCTTAGCCTTACAATAGTAAAGGTTTGAAAGCTTAACTGGGAAATGTTAGATGGCAAAAACTGATACATCCAAAAAAAGAGAACATTTTCCATATATTTTCAATATATTTGATATTCTTGCTGCAACGGACATATATATATATGGATATATACTCATATATTTCTACATATATTTTTGAGGAATGTTAATTTGCAGATGTTGTGATGAAAGAACACAGCAGAAAGTAAGACATAAGTTTTTTGGTCTGATTATGAACAAGACTCCATGTCTCTAACATCTCATGGAGCGCTGTTCAAGTTATCATAAGATGGAAACAATATAGCTCTGGAAATGGTTAAGAAGCTCTACAGTAGCAGGAAAATATAGGGAAGCTCTATAGAACCACAACACCAGACATCCATAAGTTGTACATGCGACAAATCTGGCCTGTATACAGGAGTTATAAACAGAAAACATTTAAAATGTGTTTAAAATGAATGAGATGATGAAGCTAATGTGTAACTGTAAATATGCATTGTACAAAATTAGCAGCAAATCTCCCTGAACACACCACTCCCTATCACGGTTGGATGAACTTTTTGAGGACCCAAAGGCAGAGATCAGGAGAAAGAGTTGAGTCTTGCAGATTTAATAGTTAACTGAGGCAGAAATACAAAAATACTGTCAACCAAAATACAGATGACCAAAATGTCGGGGAGAACTCACGTGGGGAGCCAGAGATGAGGAAGCTACAAACACAACAAACCAGCGCTGAGTGAATGCAGAGGTGAGGTATATATAGGGAGACTGAACCAAGACAAGCTAATCAGCAGATATGGAGCAGGTGTGGGTAGGACCCACTAGGAGGAAGCTAAAGGGAAAGGAAAACAAGCACAAGGGGGCAACAGATGATAATTTAAGAACTCAGCACTGGTAGAAATAAACTACAAAGACACAGAACACAAATAAACTTATAAATAAACCCAAGCAGAGGGCAGAACCCTGACACATAGAGGTGGCAACATCATGGTGAGCAAAGGCTTTTCTTCAGCAGATGCAAACAGCTAGTCAGAGTAGATAAAAGTTGAATGAAACTAAAGATAGGATTATCTTATAAAGCACAATATTTCCATATTTTATTTAGAAACTGCTAATGTGAAGAAATCTAGGTATCTTTCTAGAAGGATGATGGTATGACATGACATACTTTCCCTTGGAGTTGTTTTCCAATCTCTTGTATACAGGCTGGGCTGACCACCTATGCATCTGCATCCATGCAAATAGCTTGCTTACCCCTCTCTGCCTACAGACTAAGGTTGATGTTCACCCTCCTTTAGAATAACAAGCAAATTAAACATTTGAATGGTTCAAAACAAAGCTTATAAAGTTTTTGCAGTGACCCGATTGAAGTCCAGGCTCCAGTACATCATGTGGTTATAGAGTCTGAAAATTGATGCTTGCAAACACTGTCCAATTAGGTTGAAAGCCTTTGAGCTATTTGTCTGATATGTATTGGCCAAATAGCTTCCTAACTTACAAAATATTAAGTCTTTTCATCTGTAGAAACCAGCAGGGGCTTATCCCAAAAGACTACAAAATTATTATTTTTTTTTTATTTGATCTCAAAAGCTACAATAATGTTATTAATATAAAAAACACTTGTGTGTTTATTTTTTTTTGTGTGTCTTCCTACTTGTAGGGGCCTGTTTGTCATGAAAGGTATTTAATCTGGGTTCTGTTTTTAAGGTCAGTGGTGAGGTTAAAGAACAGATGGGATATAAAGTGAGATGATTTAAAGCCAACAGTATGCCTTCAGAGAAAAATCATAAGCACATTGTATCAAGAACAACAAATCTTGTGCAAACTTGTGTATTTTTAACTGTTTCTCTGAATCTGGTCTCTACACAGGGAAGCTGCATGCACACACAAAGGTCAACACAAATAACCTTTACTAGCCTGAGCCCTGCTGAGGGTCAAGCTAGGGGCCTGAAATTGTAACCTGTTAGAGGCTAAAAGATACTTTGTAACTGTCAGGTAGGTTTCAGCAGGACAGCTTAACATTTAGGTAAAATAACGGGTTAAATCCAAGCATAGCCAAGGGTTAGAAAGATGCAGTAAAAGTCAAAATCTGGGAAACTATCGACAAACTTAACAAATACGATTCAGAGATGCTCTCCACACTTACTGAGAAAATCAATTTTTTTTTTTTTATATTTTTATGATGTTTAAAGTTTTGAAAACGTAACTTTTTCTAAGAATTACACACTATTTTACGCAAGACGATTGGGCCACTGAAAAATAAAAAAGGTAACTGATTATTTCAGTATAATATGGGAAAAAAAGTCAGAACTCTGACTTTAATCTCAGAATTTTGACTTTAATCTTAGAATTCTGACTTTTCTCCCAAAATTCTGACTTTAATTTCAGAATTCTGAACATGAAAGGAGATATTATAGTATGGAAGAGGATTAGGGCAACTGAAAAAAATTATTTAACAGATTTTAAAATTTTGTTTTAGTATAATATGGGGAAAAAAATCTGAATTCTCAGAAAAAAGGTCAGAATTCTGATATTAACGTGGAAATTCTGACTTTTCTCCCGTTTTACTGAAACAAAAAATTTAAATCAGTTATCTTTTTTTATTTTTTCAGTGGCCCTAATCCTCTTCCGAACTATTTGGTGTGGGTCTGCAACATAAAATCCTCAAAATGCATTGAAGTTTGTTTTTGACAAAATGTAAAAATAAATGCGAAAGAATACTAAGATATTGAATCATTTGTTCAGCACATTTGTGTTATTTAAATACATTTGAGTATATTGTTTTATAAGACATATTTTTGACAAGTCTGCTGCTTCATTTCAATGACTCATTTATCAAAATTAGCCAATCCCTTACACCACCTGGAACTCACAGCACTTCTTAGCACTCTGAACCAGACAGAACACGTAGAAACATTTTAAGGGATAATTTAACAACAAAAACAGAAATTGGAAAATAGCTCCCTGGGGCCTGCTGCCTAATACATCAGTAGGAAAGAAGCAGTGATCCAATAGAAAACTTTCTTCTCTTGGAATCATTGAGCAGCAACAATGACAAAGACCAATCGATAGAAAACTTTTTAACTCTCCTGCTGTGCTACCTAAACAGCTCCCTGTGTCGATTTGGACCAGCGTTATGAGTTTACTTTGGCAAAGCATGCTTCATTCACTGAGGTGAGTCATGGAAAAATCCCTTTAAGCTTACATCGCACCAAGAGGGGGAGTATATTTTCACAACCTCCGTGTGACCTCAGGGCACCACGGCCAGACAGAAAGATCTGTGAGTATCACAGGGGACTCCAGAGCAATATTGTGATATTGATGATTCTTCCCTTCAGTTTTCTTTTATTCAACTATGATGGGTCCATTTTAAGTAGATAATATTTGGCTTATCATCCCAAAATATTATATTTTTAATGAGTAATGTTTCTGTGTGCATGCACAGGTGGATGTCTTCTCCTAATGAGTCACTGTCTGTTGGTGTGTCTGCAGCTATTCATCAACACTTACCTGTGTCTGCATCTTTGATATTTGGAAAATATCACCAACATTACTGTAAGCCAAACAGACAGATTAAGTGCTTAAATAAAGCCATCATTAAAATAATAGTGGACATTTATGTGAAACTGAGGTGTTTGGATCATTTGTTATTGCAGTATCGCTTGCTGTTGGCTGGGATCAGCAATATGATTTAGCGACTCAGGAGAGACAATGGTTACACAGAATATCAACTATTTAAGATCACAATAAATAACACTTCTAGGCACAAAAAAAGTATGCTTTATTAGAACCCTTTATGTTGCACCAGTTAGCGATATTTGATGCAACAATAGCATCAGATATTTTCACAAATCTTCACATCTTCAACCATTAATACATCATAAGTGAAGACCATAATAATCAAGGACCAGTGTGAGCTTTCAGAGATGACCCCACCAGGATGGGAGAACCTGTTGAAAGTGCCAGATGAAAGTACGCATTCAGCGTCTGCTCTGCCGATAATGCAACGGTAGAAGAAGAAATGTG